AAAAAGTATCTAGAGTAGAGGTGTTACTAAATAACATTAGCGCAATATAGAATATAGATATAGATAGATATTATAGAGACGCCTTATCTTTCTAATAGCGTATACTATATCTACTTACTTATTTATTTACTACCTTCTAATATTATAAGTAGAATAAGCTAGTTCTCTACTAACTTTGTAATTTAATATTATTTATATAACTAAGTCTAACACTTTCTAATATTCTCTATTAATAAATCTAACTATTATAGTAGTAGGCTTCTAGCTAACTACTAGTGCCTTATTTTTATAGCTCTATCTTTAGTACGCCTAGACGCAGAATTATTAGCGCTGTAAGTTCTACTCTATAGTTATATAATAGAGCTCTATAGGCTTTAATTAGTAGCGCGCCTTATAGAGTTATTTCTAAAAGAGTATAGATATCTAATTTACCTAATAAGTAGCTCTAACGTTAGTAGCAGCGCTTCTTTAGTTAGCAAGTTATACATAAATAGTCTAGTATCTAATTATAATATAACTTAATAAAGTTAGCGTATAGTATTCTAAGTATAGAGTGTTTTAAACGTAGTATAGTGTAATAGATATATTAAGTTAAAATTATATTACTAGTAAAATACTATGTTATAGAAAGAGAGAGCTATATAAGTAAGGTTTTAAAGTTTCTTGCCTAATATAGAGCTAGGCCTAATTAGATAGAGGTTATAGGTTTAATCTATAATATATATAGAATTATCTTCTAAAGTTTTATTTTAATTAATTACTAGAAATATATATAAAAGCGTAGTAGTATCTTATAGAGTAGTAGTATCTATAAGTTTAATAAGCTTTAGTTAATAGAGACTATTATTTTCTAGCGTAATTATAATAGTTTTATTAGTTTTAGCGTACTAGAATTAAAAGATAGATTTATTTACTAATCTATTAATCTTTTACTTTATAATCTATAAGACTAATACTAAACTATAAATAGTATCTAGTAAGTATATAATGTTAGATAGAGTAATATAGTTCTAAGTTCTATTATCTAGGTTAATATCTAAGTATACTATACTAATTCTAACTATTTCTAATATAGTGTTAGTATTAGTAATTTATATAAATCTTAGTTTAATATTATTTAAGTCTATAAATTAGTTTTAATTATTATATAGATATATACTAGCTCTAGAGTTAATAACCTATTTATTTATTAATAAGTTATCTTTCTTAAGTATAAGTATAGCTTCTATAACTATATTTATCTTTATAGATATATAATCTCTTAGTACTATCTCTCTTTTATTTCTATACTCTATATTAATACTAACCTCTTAAGAGTTAGTTAAGAAGTAAGAATAGAGAGTAGATTATATACTAGATTAATTATAATTCTAATAATAGTTAGACTAGTTTAAGAAGTAACTATTAATATAGTAGCCTTAGTAGTAATTAATAGTAACTAGTTTATTATTATTATAGTTATCTAAGACCTCTAAGCGCTCTAATTAGCTACTTTAATTTTTACTACAATTCTTAGTACTATTATAAGTAACTTTATCTATAGTAAATTAAGCTTTTACTTAGTCTAGGTTATCTAGCTAGTTAGATAAGTAATAGTTAGTGTAGAAGCTTTAGACTTTTATAATCTTAGTAATCTTAGTAGAGTAAAATATAAGACTAATTTATTTATTAAATATTTTATTTTAGTTTTCTTATTTATTTACTTTATTCTTTAGCTTTATCTAATCTAGTTTAAGTTCTAGATACTTAATAAAGCACTTATCTTAAGAGTAATTATATTCTTTATATTCTTATATAAAGTATTTTTTACTTTAATTTTTTTTATTATAATAATCTTTATTATTCTTTTTATTATTAGGCTTTTATTTCTTCTAATCTTTTTTATTTTAATAGATATTAATTTTAGCGTCTTAGAGTTATTATTTAATATTATTAAAGTAAGACTATTTAACGTTTTATCTATTATATAGTATATTTATAAATTAAATAGTTTTATTAAACTCTAGAGTAAAAGAATAAAAGATCTTAGCTTAAAGAGCGCTTATATTATATATACTTTTTAGTTCTTAAAAATAGATAATATTCTCTTCTAGCTAACTAAAGAAGTTATTAAGGTCTTTATAGTTCTTTAAGTAGAGTAATTTAATAGTCTTATAAAGAATTTACTTATTTTAGTAGTTACTAAGTTAATATTATTTCTTAAAGTATATCTAGATATTTATAAAATTAGTATACTTATTTAAAACTAATTAGATAGAGTCTAAAATATAGAGTCTAAGAAGTATAAGTACTTAATTAGTTTTCTTATTATATTTATTATAGTTATATAGAGCACTCTTATATTACTTTTTAGCTTCTTTAATTATAATATTCTAGTAGAACTTAGAGTTATTTTTATTAATTTCTACTTCTATAATAAAGTTTCTATACTTATCTAGAGTAAATTAAGTATTAAGTTTAACTTTTTTATATATAGCTTATAAGTATATAAGAATATTAAGTTTATTAATATTTATATTATTACTATTAAGAATATTCTAGAGGTTAAGGTATTAAGTAATAATCTTAATATCTTATTTCTATTTAGTAAAGTTAGTTTATCTAATAAGCTTAGTAATTTTATATAAGAATACGTTTTTAATAGTAAGATTAGTAGTAACTTTATTAAGAGAGTTTCTATTAGATATAATTAGTGTAGTAGAAACTTCTAAGCTTATAATCTATTAAACTTAATAAATTAATATAAAATAAGATAATAAAGTAAAATAAAGCTTTACCTCTTTTATATACTTAAGAAGTAGTATTTATATTTACTATAATATAAACTTACTCTCTAACTAGAAGCTTTTAGTTTTATCTAATAATAGTAAACAACTAAGTTAATACTACCTATCTAGTTTATGAACTGCGCGCTATAGGCAAGCAATACACGACGTCTAGTCTGCACACAGTCTTTCTTGAGAAGTTGTGACCACTTGTACTCTCCATGCTCTCTTTCGACCTGTAAGGCCTCAAGCACCTCTCTGTTCTCCTTCTCAATCTTTGGATCATCAGGCGTGCCGTCGTAAACGTCACAAAGAATCTGAAGCGCCTCTTCATGTCGGCCATGCGCATACAAGTACCGGGGTGATTCAGGAAGGCCAAAAACAAGTACGATAACGATAATCGCGAAGATGACCTGGCATGCAATCGGCAAACGCCACGCGATCGATCCTTCCGTGAACGACATGCCGTAGTCAAACCAGTACGCAAGCTCGATACCTACCCCAACAAAAAGCGGTTCCGACGCGACGAGCCGACCGCGCTTGTTCGCCTCGCAGAGTTCAGATTGGTACATCGGCACAGTTGATGTCTCGATCCCAGTACCAATTCCAGTCAGAAACCGCGCAACCATCATATGCGGCACCGAGTACGCACTCGCTTGGAGCGCGCCGCCGACCTGTAATCATTAGCCACAATCCCACCAGTACAGATCTGCCCTCTTACTATAATCCAAACCATGGCAATCCACATAGCCAGCCTCCGTCCCGTCTTCTCGCAGAACATAAAGCTGAGGATACATCCTGTGAAGCAACCGAGGTTGTATATCGACACGATGATGCCTTCGAGACCGGGTGAAGGGTGGTCGAAGGTGTTCAGGAAGTCTTCGTTGCCGACGATGCCGCTGAAGACGCCTTGGTCGTAGCCGAAGAGAACGAAGGCGAGTTGGCACGCGATCGTTATGGCGGCGCGAAGTTTGAAGCCGCGACCGTACCTAAGTATCGGTGTAAGATGTCAGCGCGTGTTACAGTAATGTGTAGAGATGTGACTTGCCAGTTGAAGTGTGGGGCGTGGAACATATTGGACGCTTTCTGCTCGCTGGTCTGCTAGATGCGACTTGATGCGACGCACAATTACGACGATGGGATATGCGAAGAAGACTGGAGTACCTTATGGGCCCTGCCCATGTATCTATACACACATCTCCATACCTCACCGCTCGCTACCCGGATCATATCACCCGAACACACGCAGCATGCTAGATCTGACCCCGACGTCACAACAGATGGTCAGTCGGCAAAATCGCCGTTATCACACGCTGCCTGCGCACATAACTGACGGAGTAATTGCGGGGCAGGGATCGTGCAAGAGGTTCTGGCGAATGGTTAAGAGGTAAAACGCCGTTGGAAGCCTTGCCGAGCTATTGGTGGCGTTGCATGGTCGCGTAGAAATGCGCGTCTGGGGTAGGATGGGGTGATCTGCAGGTGCGGAGGTGGAGAAGGGGGGATGACGTCGCGAGGAAGGCACGTTTTGGGGAAGCCGGTGATGATGCAGCAAGGGCGGCTGGCATGAGCATGTAAATCGGGGTACAACAAGAGCTTATTGAATCGAAGCGCCACATTTCTATACATGTGTCGCGATCAATGCTACAGAGACCATAGTTATGAATGCTGAAGTGCTGCGAAGTCCAGGTGGCTGGTGTGCTTATCTCCGCGCCATCTCCGGAGCGATCCTGCCAAATCTCAGCCGTCACTCCATCCTCTCTTCCATCTCCATTCATTAATCTACTATCGCCAATTGCAATGTTTCCTGCGAGAACGACGAAATGTCCATTGACATTTACTAATACGACTGGAGCACACGAGCGGCACTCCTACAGGGTTAACACCAACTTAGACTGCGGATCGTAACAATGGGTACACCTGTGTAGCGAACGCTGTTGAGATATGTCGTTAGACATGGGCCAAACATGATGTTCGCCAACTTGGTCTTTACCATTCTATGCTACCTGGTCAAACAACCTCAACAAGCGCATGCAGATTCATATCGATACAAGGAAACACTCGATGAACAAACAATGGGGGGACTTCATTAAGTGAAATCTCCTGCTTCGCATTTCACGCTTCTGCCTACGGAGGAGAAAAGCTTTGTGGTGCCTTCCTCTAACCTTGCGCCCGCATTTTATCAACCGGCTTCCAACACGATACACAGCCTAGCTTCAGATCAGAAGTACACCAAATATGGCGGCTCCAATGGGTACAACGACCAAGCAACCCACCTCTAATCAAGGTCATCTACAGTCTTTGATTGCCAAGATCCGTAAAGAAGTCCGACGACCGACACAGATAGAGATCTCATATGCAAACAATTTCACTCAGGCTGTCGAAAAGGAAGCTTGGAAAGAGTCTCAGGAAGTTCGCAACAGCATGTTGGGCGTCGCTCAAGATGCTCGGAGGATGTTTGGCCTTCGACCGTTCGACATGTCGTTAAATGTGGAGAATGAAGCCGATGGCAAAGAAATGGTTCTGCGAAACGGCGGGAAGCGATCAGCTTCCACTGCACCAGCACCTAATGCATCAAAACGGCAACAGCGCGAGCCGATTCGACCACCGCCACCACCAACTTCTGGGAAGATAGATCAGAAATCTGAGGCTCTAGATCAATCCGGTCGTGTCCGTCACATTAAAGAGGAAAACACCGTCACTAACTCCCAAAATGGTCCACACGGCCATGGTCATTCTCAGTCAATCGAGGCTCCATTCGCCACCAGCTTCCTCACCAACAGCGCGCCAATCTACAACCAAAACATCAACAGCGGGTCTGGTCAGCAGAATATCAACGTCTATGGCGTATTCGAACCTCCGCCACCACCAGCTACCGGCGCCGCTCCAACTGAGTACGAGATCCCTACCGAGCCAGAGCATCGCCTAAACCGAGACCCTGGACAGCAAAAGCTCTCGATCAATGATACTGTTACCAACAAGACGGCCGGCGATGGTAACCCCGGCGGTCACAAGCAGACGTTGAAGGGTCCACATGGCAATACGCACATGCGCATGACAGCGCCGGTGTACAATCAGAACGTCAACACCGGGAGTGGACAGCAGAACATCGACGTCATCGGAAAGATGGACTTTGAGAAAAAGGATCGCAAAGAGCGACCGCGTCAAGGCCCTATAGTCGCAGTCGCGCAGTCTGCAAACCCACAGCCACAGCGGCGCGACGATCAGGGAACAGGTAACCCACACTACGGTCACAGTCCATATTACCGGCCGACTTCGCCTCAAGGCCTTGCAGTTGCAACCGGGCAGAACGCAATTCCACTACCACAGCGACGCGACAATGAAGCACCTCGTAGTCCATTCTATCGACCAGCTTCGTCTCACTATCGACCAACCTCGCCTCAGTATGGATCAACTTCGCCTGAGTATCGACCAACCTCGCCGCAGTACTCGTATGGACCAACTTCGCTTCACCGTCGATCTCGCTCACCTCGCCGCCGCGTCGCCCCGCGTAGTGACAGTGGCGCAATGGATGAGTACCGGGATCGTTCGTACGGGAGGGGTGATGGTCTTCCATATGAGGATGCTCCGTATGATTCAGAAGATGACTGGTCGAGACCAGATGGTGTGGATCGTTCTGGTCCAAGAACTCCGCGTCGCGGACGCTGAGATGAGTGGTATGATGGCCGATGACGATGAGTCCAAAAGGAAAGATCGCGGCCAGGCATTTTCATGATCTACATAGTCAACTGGTAAATATGTTCAGGCCATCTCTATGAGATTATAGTAAAATGCATTGTCAAGATGACCAAGCTCTTGCATTAATCTGTCAAGCCTTTTAATTATACATGAACGTGATTATAATAGTCTGACGCTTCTTGCAGCTCCGGACCAGCTTTATTACCAGATAAGTTTTCAGCGAGGGATCCCTAATCGCGTCCTTCGTTTTCCCCTGGATTTCCTCCGGGGTTCGCTTCCTGGTTTGCTTCGCGGATCTCTCCCTCATTTCCCTCATCACCCTCGCGGACGACGTGTCTAGGCGAATCATGTGGTTCTGCGATCGGCACCCCTCTTTCTTCATCGCTGGGTTGGTCTTCATCATCAAATTCGACACTCTCAGTGCTCGTGGTTTCGATAGTCGACATTGAGTCACCTTCCTCGCTAGGGTGATCAGTATGGTCAGAGTTATCAGATTTAGGGCGAACAAGTTCGGGAACTTTGTCTTGGGAAGGTACTTGAGAGGGGCCACGGTTGGCGCCCCCTTGGTCATTGGAAGACATTTTAGTGTAGCCCTATTGCTGGAACGAATGAGTGGGTCTAGCTTGTGGGCTGAAGCTTTGTATTACGTATCTCACTGTAGCAAACCTCCTCATTGTCATGGGAACTCAGGAGGGTGACTAGGGCTCGTGATGATATGATGAGGGTATTAGAGAAAGGATCACCTGTACGATTTTGGTCGTTTCATGGGAGCAGAAATTGGAAAGCCTATGCCGGCTTTAATGATGACGAGATCTTGGCCTGTATATGCTGGAAGATACCAGAAGTTCTGTGTGTTGTATAGCGGACGCGTTTTGGTTGCTACCTTGCGGCCGTGTGCTTGTCAGCTGAAGAGCAGGGGGACCTGAGGTGAGGCCTTCATCTAGACAGGCGTTATGGATTGTCGTGAGATTAGGTGGTTGACATGGGTTGTTTCCCGACTGAACATTCTTCGCGATGGCATCTTGTTCTATGAGAGATACACAACGACCGCTCACCTGGCACTAGGTGTACGCGGCAATCTGCCTTCATGAAGAGGGTCACTGCTTACGCCTGAGGCCAAGTCTGAGTAAACGCGGTTAAAACGCGGGTTAAATGGGCCACAGCCAGAGAGTCGCTCACCGAAGGTTACTCCGGTATGGATGAACAGCTTTACAGATTCTTCCATCCACCAGGTAGGAAGCTGGCGAATGGGGGTAATGGTTCCCTGTGTCGCGCATACCGCGGACATTCTGTTCGACAGCACATGCATCGTGCCATATCCAGACCCAGCTACCAGACAGTCGGGACAGAAACATGTGAGGGATATTTTTGGGGGTTGCTCGCTCGCATTAAGCAGCCCACACCCCGCGGAGAACGTAACATAAATGCAAAGCTCAACCACCGTGATGGAGAAGTGACTCCATCCGCTCAAGTCTCTGGGCTCAACGGGAACGGTAAACATGGATCATGACTGAGAAATCAGCAGATCCAAGGACCAGAGTGATGTTCTTGGTAGAACACCCGGTCTCGACACAAGGCCAAGGCCCTATTTCACCCTAACAACGGGCCGATGCTCGGTCGACGATCATCAAGCGCGAAGAATCTTCCATGCCAATACGCCGGCTCCGAGGCCAGGCCTTGGCCCCACGCGGGTGCTATCAGATGGATTAAAACTGGGCGATTGGTACCACGACTAATCAATCTGATAATCGTCGCTTTATCTGATCCACCAACGTACACAACCGAAGATGGGTGCCTTAGGATGTGAGGAATTTGTGGTTCCAGAATTGTATGGCTGCTTGGATGCTAATGCTAGTACGCAGGGCTCAGGGCCAGCGACTCTGGCGATGCGAAGAAAGTTTTGGAGAGGAAGCTCGTTGTGAAGCTTGGTATGAGCATCTTTATCCCCATGGCGCAACCATGCTAACTTTCATGTGACTAGACATCTTCATCATGGTCAGTACTGTCGCAGAATTGGACTACTCATGATATCTGATTGTCTTGACTAGGTGTTTTGCTGTGCAGCTTACTTCTTCAACTACCTGGACCGCCAGGCTTTCGCCAATGCCTACGTCGCTGGTCTCCGCGAAGACATCGGCCTCAAAGGCAACGAGTATAGCATCTTGCTGTCTATTTTCACTGCGGGGTCCGTTCAGTGTGCCAGTGTGTCATGGCACTCTAGCTGACAGTTTCGCAGTCTCGTTGTCGGCCAGATACCCCATGGTCTCATCATCCAGAAAGTTCGCCCTAGCATATGGCTTCCGTTCACTCTTATCCTTTGGTCTCTTTTGACCATGTGTTCAGCTGGGTGCAAGACGTATTCACAGCTTTGTGCAGTCCGCTTCTTCCAGGGTTTGATCGAGGCCAGTTTGTATAGTGGTAGCGTGTATGTGATGGGTTCATGGTAGTAAGTCGATCGAATTCCTTTTCATGGGAAGATGCTCAAGATCCCCGCAGCAAGCCTTCCGAGATAGCCAAACGGGCTGCCATCTTTACTGCGGTCGGGCAGGTCGGAAGTATGTGCGCTGGTCTCATGATGACGGCAATGCACCAGACGATGGAAGGTAAAGGCGGCTTGAAGGGTTGGCAATGGGTGTTCATCATTGGTACGTGAGCGACTTCGAGGGCCGTCGCGCGCGCGTTGCTGATACATCTGATTCAGACGGTCTCATGGGAATCCCAGTTGGTCTCTTCGGATTCGTAAGTTACGTCGGTGCTTGTACCCGAACCTGAGGACTGATAGTAAGCCTAGTTCACATTCCCGGATCTTCCAGAGTCGACCAGAGTTTCGTACATCACTCAGGCGGAAAGACAACTCGCAATGAGTCGTCTACCACCCAAGACAGCAGACACCCACAACATCGAGTTCAAGAGCCTTGCGAAGCGTGTTCTCCTAACGCCTACTATGTGAGCAGATACCGGTCGTGTTAGTCAAAACCAGGGAGTCATACTAATTCCTCTGTAGATACATCCTCACAACGTTCTCAGTCGTCTGCGCCATGCTCGAAGCCTTCGCCTTCCAGGGCATGTTCCTCCTCTGGCTCAAGCACAACAAGTCTCGCTTCTCCCAAACCGCTATCAACACGTACCCTCTCGGAATTCAAGCTGTTGCGATCGTCTCCCAGATTTTGGGCGGAGCCTTTATCGACCATACAGGTCATCGTCTGCCTATGATCATCTTTAGTGGAGCGATGCAGCTCATCACCGCATCGCTTCTGCTCGTGCGCAACCTTCCAGATGCGGGAGTCTTCACAGCGCATTACCTCAGTGGCACAAGTTTCATCGTGAATCCAATCATGTACGGCTGGGCCACAACCATCTGCCAGCGAACGGGCGACGATGCGGTGAGGGGTGTGACCGTGTATACAATGGCTATGGGTGGTCTGATCCTGTACACGTGGTGGGGTATTGTTATGTACCCAGCCACGGATGTACCGTACTGGAAGAAAGGAAGTATCACCATGATCGTGGTGGTCTTTGCCTTTATTGGATGGGCGTTCGTGGTCAGATGGGTGAGTATCATTGGCGGATAAGAGATTTGGCGTGTGCTAACGATTCGTGTAGCTTGATAGGAAGACGGCGATGGCTGCGAACCGTGAGCCAGCTGAGTCTGGAGAGCTCGAGGCTCCGGAAATGGTTGATGAGAAGACGAAGTCTGGGTAATGGGCTTTTTCGCGGCCCCTCAGAAAGCACTGCCCCTTCGGTTCGCGCACGTCAATGGTGTCGACAAACCCCTTGACGAAAAGATATGAGGGCAGTAATGGCTGCAGGCCGCAGTCGCTGATGCGGGACGTCTTGCAGAAGGGTCGGTTGGTGCTGCGGGCGAAACGCATCACGAAGGGATTCAGGGTCTCGCATGTCATCATTACGTCATCGTCATCTCCGCGTTCCGTCGCAGAAAGAACCTTGGAATGCACTCAATGCTCCTAATTATACACTACTCATCACCCTGTTCGCTTCCTTACTGCTATCTTTAACCATTTTGTTCATCTCATCTACGTATGGAAGTCTCCGGATCGCCGCCGATATGACCAGTGAGTATGTACTTACATCCATTCACCAACCTTCCGTGCCCACTCAAGATGCAGCTGTTGTAAAGCAGTATTCGACGTGTCTGGTCGCAAATCTCGGCTTCGAAGTACATATCTGTCGATTCTTCGACGTCGGCTACCTGTAGCCATTGGAACATCCTCGGAGCGCAGTGATCTACTCGCCTCATCCGTAGCAACCGTAATGGGCTGACCCGGTTCTTCTCTAGGTTTTTGGCGATCCTCGTCACCCGGATTCATATACACATCTTCAAGCCATTCATCGATCCAGCGCCGCTTACGGGAGGATATCCTCTTTCCAAAACTTCGTGGCTCGATTGCCTCTGTCTGACCCGGAAGGCCCGGCTCCGGTTTGGACGGCCTTTTTCGAACCTCGCGATCATGCCGATTTGCATCAGAGAGAGCGCATTCCGCCTGCGCATGGCCTCTGTCAGCGTCCTGCATCTTCGCAGAAATCTTGCGGCATTTTTCCAGCCATATGGGGCCAAATTCTTCTTCCAACTGATACGACCTTACGCTTGCGTTGCCACGTTTCCCTCTCTGGTGAAACATGTAAGTCTTCAGTTCCTGATCGTACTGCTCACGAACATTGTTAAACTCTCGCTCAACGCGTATTGCCTCGTCCGCCGTTTGGTAGAGCACATCCTGTAATGCCAGCAGGTGGTCGTTGCGAGGATAGTCCTTCCATGCGTTATTCCAAGTACTCTCTGGCTCTTCTTCTCCCAGAGCTTCAAATACTTCACTACCTTTGTCCACGACTGGCGCGGGTTTCCACTCCCCGGGTATCTCATCGTTCCAATTATTCTCGGACCAATTCAAGCTACAACCGTCTACGGGTTCTTTTGCGCTCAGGATTTGGACCCGCGGATTCTTGTCGGCGTCATCGATTCCAGGCAGAACGCCTATCTTTACGAGCAGTTCGTCCAGCAAGACCCATAGCGCATGCTCTGCGTCTCTCAGGCTTGTTTCTACTGCTTCATGTCGAGCGTAGACATCATTCTGCTGTTCTTCAAGCTTTACTTTCTGTAAAACGTTTGCTTGGGTACGTAAGATGACTTCTGAGCGACGCTTCATGGCCCACTCAAAGGTGTCTTCGTCGTACTCACCGTAGTTGCTTGAAGTCACCCTATCTAGTTCTTTCGCCTCCACCCCCAATTTGTTGTCGTCGTGCTGTATCTTGGTATACTCTGCTTCAATCGTATCAAGCTCGCAGTCACGCCACGCGCACGATGCATTGAATTTACGACGGGCCGACCCAGCTTTTACGATGGCACTGAACATCTCGTACGTCGGCACGATGCCTGCACATTCATCGAAGCCATTACCAATCAGTAGCAAGCCACTTTCCTCATAGAAGTTCTCCTTTCTTATGGCATCTGGCCACCACATGACCGGGTGGAACCGGCCAGGTTCTGGATGTCTCAAGTCCGGATCTTGTCGTAGGGTGGGAGACTGTGAGATCGCTCCGTGTGATAGATGGTCGGCCTGCGATTTTGACTGGTCAGGCGAAGAAGCGCCCGGTGAACGTCCGACTGGCCTACTCCCTATCTCGGCAGGGGCTACGTACTGCGGATGTATCTGCGGTACGAGCTTGAGGAACCGCTCACCTCCCCGAGCTCGGCAGTCCCTATCGTATTTTCTTTCACTGGCCATCGAGTGAATCTCAGGAGAAAGCCAAAGCCAGTTCGAAGCAGGTCTGGCCTTTTCCCGCCCAGCTGTGGCCGGAGAAAAGTGTGCAGAGTCCTCTGTGAGACGAAGAAACTTGCATGGTCGTCCCGTCGAATGCATGGCGCTTTGGAGACCAACATCGTCGATGAAGTCTTGAAAGCATCTTTTCCTTTGGAACTTCCCGGTGTTAGCCATGGAATTTGACACTGGACGAGTAATCAGTCGTGACTGCCGGGTATCTACGAATCAGTTCTTGAGTGCATGACAGCGCAAGTATCGTTGTTTGGCATTACTTTGAGAACTGCAGCGAAGATGAGTCTTCTAACGTTGAGGTTGCACCAATAACAAAGACATGGAAGTCAATGGCATAGGCTTGCCTTTGTCATATTACCGTCTTTGTTACTCGGTGATCTTACATAAGCAGAATCAGTACACACCACATCGCCTCCACAGCTTCGCTCGCTGTGAATTGGATGCGAGTGAATGTTATGAATCCTTCTCAATTTGGACAGCAAAAGCAGGTGAAATGGTCAAATCCGCTGCGCTAAACTCGGAGAGGTGCCTTGCGCCCGCTCTGTCATATATCAGTGGCCACTACTCGATGAATCAAGACCCCTATTACTACCGACATAACCACAACCTCCTCAACCCAGCCACAATAAGTAACTAGCTATGACAGACAGAAACCAGTCGGGTGATCGGAGGCATGGAGCGGACGGCACGCAACCCAACGATCGCAATGCACGTGGAAATAGTCGGGAACCAAGGGGCACCCACCATGATGATCAAGGCAGAAGGCCTCGAAACCGATCCCTGTCACCCCAAGCTCAAGGACATGATACAACTCCTGGAAACCGACGACCCACTCAACATGCAGGTCTGCAACGGAACCGTTCGACAGGCAACATGTATATCGGAAATGGCATGACCAATGTATACAATGGCCAGAATCCAAACCTCATACCTCTTGGTGCTCGGAGCACCAGCAACTCTACCTCGGTCCCTTTGACTCCTGTCGTGTCTACACAGCCTACTGCAACTGCAGGCAATGGTGCTGGTATCAACTATGCAGCTAGAACCGCAGCCAGCGGAACAAAGTACGAGAACTCAAATAGAAGCGGGAGTGGCCGACAGCCCTCGCAACGAGCTCGGCCGAATACTCCTTCCCGTAACGCTACCATCCAAACCCCAATCCTGGACGGACATGGGCGTATCAGTCAACGCATCCAGAGTAAACCAGGACTGGTCTTACCAGAGAACGAGAAACTCAAACCCGGAGACATTGTCAGTTTCTGGATGATCAAGCATTGTCTCCTCGACGCTTACCAGCGACGCAAACACCACGCGGACGGAACCTGGGAGTTTGCTGATACTGATAAGTGCGTACTTCGGTTTCAGCCAAACGATTACATACGTAATAAATACGGGCAGGACTGGCCACACGGCTTCTCCCTGGAATCTCGAGATGGCCTTGTAGTTGGTGTATCATACGACGATAACATCGCAACCGTCGACATCCTGCCTTTCTTCTCCTATTCCGGCAAAGGAGCCTGGCAAGACGAAGCAGAAACCATCCCCAAATCCCCAGAGTTCTGTGCTTCGCACCTCTCCATAATGACCCGGATCCGACTCGATCGTCGAATGCGATACGAAGCAAGGATCAAGCATCAGCGGGCGATGAACCCGAACTCTGACGTGAAGATGTCAATGAACACACCCACTCCTAACAGCCATCCATGGGCACCTCCCGACTGCATTGCGGTGGTCAACCTAAACGATTCATACGACCCCAAGCGCAACACTCTGGTCAGGTTCTCGATGGTTCTCACCATGAACGTAGATGCACGGGTACGAAAGCATTCCTCCCTAGAGCCAGAGAGCAAGATCCGCACCCTAGATATCTACCGTAAGTGGCTGTATCTCAGAATGATTGATCCCGAAGAGCGCTCTACAGGCGATTATGGCCCGTATACTTGGCTTAAAGGAATGGATCCAAGCTATACCGGGTCGCTACACACACCCGAAATTGGCACTACCAACGCTGCGCCTCAGCAGACGCCGATAGTGCCTCAGCAGAACGGAGACTTACCACGTCATACCGGTCCAGCTGTAGCCACTCCATCTCCGCAGACGCCAACAATGCCCCATCACAACGGCGTTCCGCCACATCCTACTGGTACTACCAATCCTACACCCCAGCAGCGGCCGGGAGCGCCTGATCAGAACGGAGCCCTGCCACCCCCACCTGGTCTAGGTGTGGTCACTCCACCCTGGATGAAGCGCAAGTTCGACGATACGGAGGAAAACCCCTCTGTGAACGCTGGACAGCAGGCCGCAATGGAAGATGTTGTCGAAACAACAGGAACCGACAGCTTCGGTACGCAAGCCGCCGACTCAACCACGCCACTGGAACCAGCATCAAAGCGACAAAAGACCGAGGCCAGCGCTGACGAAGCTGACACTGATGCTGGGGTAACACCTGGCAACCCCCCCTCCCCCAAATGAGAGCATGATACTCGAGAAAATGATCCCCGATTGAACTGCAAATATTGCGGTTACGAAGATATGATATGGCTATGCTTGTTGGCATGACCTTATCAGTACAGCCACATTGAGCGGCCTTCACTGCAGATGTCTTGACAGTTTATGATACCCCTTCCTCTTTATACTTTGTACCCTTGTTCTTGCTTAAAGGTCACTTTACCAGTTCCTTCTCTTTCCTGTTATGTCCATACTTTCACGTTGGTAGTCTTCTTATTCATGTTCATGTTTGTCGTCTTTTCGTATTGTTCTGCTGCCGGAATCGTCTTCGTTACTCATCTTGCGCTTGAGGATAAGCTTGATACGAAGCTGAACATGTTGCACGAACAATGTGAAAGACAAAAGCGCGATACGTTGGGTCGATGAGGTTGTTAGGTGTTTCAGATGACGCGGAGAGAGGGAGAGGGGAAAGGCTGGATCTCCGGGCGAGGAAGGGGTAGATGTTGGGCTGACAGTACTCGGGGCGAGTCATGGGAGTGGAGCGTAGGAAGGGGAGAGGTGTAAGAGGATGTGCATGATGCATGATCAGGGATCGATGAAGGAAATCGGTGTAAGAGCGGTAGGGGTGGGAGTAACTGTGAGGAATAACTGTCAACATATTAATTCGTTCTCGAGTCCGTAAATTTGTAATTGATACGTATGCGTGAAATAAAAGCAGCGTGGAAAGAATCTTCGTAGTACTCGCGATAGTCATGACCCATTATGTTCGCCCCTGCGCCGAACGAACCCAGAAGACTCCAAAGCAAGTAAGCAAGCGGCCAACGACGGGATCTTGATATGCCCATGTAATGTCGTCTAGATGGTATAAACGTGAGGAAGCAAAGCAACGCTAAATGCTGATGTACGATGATGAAGTATGATGAGGACGAAGGAAACGCCAAACGCTATGATAGAGGAGATTTGGTTGGAAGCCGTGGGGATCAGACGGCGACAGTGTGGGCGCGGAACAACATCTTGAGGCCGGAAGGCTCTTTCTCCTTCTTCTTGGTCTTGCTGCTTTCTTTGCTGCTCTCCTTGCCGGATTTGCTGGAGGCGACTTTGCTGGAAGCGACTTTACTTGAGGCAACCTTGCTGGAGGGACGTTTTGAGTCGGATGTCTTGCTGGTCTTGACGCTGACTTCGGACTTGGGTGCGCGGTGCTTGTGTTCTTTGTGCTCTTTGTGTTTTGATTCGCTGCTGTGCTTCTTGGATCGGGTGCTGCGGCGGGACTTGAGATCGTCTTCGTCAAGTACGCCGGCGGCGCAAAGGGTGCGGGAGGCTTCGGGCGTGATGAACTCGCCGTCGACACTGGTGCCGGAGCTGTTGGCCTCGACGTCTGCGATGCCGCGGCGCCACAGCTCTACGCGGCTAAGCTCCTGGGGCTCGAGCTCGTCGAGCTGGTTGTTGGAGTCTTCGATGGGCATGGTAGCGGCACGCATGGGTATCGCCATTTGCGGCTCGGGTAGTGGTGCGTCGACCTCCTTCTGGACTTGCATCTTCTTGATGATCTTGTATCCACCGAGTGCGACAATGGTGACGCCAACAGCGACACCTCCAGCGATCATGAACTGGGGGCTGAGGAGCAGAGCTGCAACGGCAGGGAAGCTGCCCTTGAGCGTCATGAGGACACCAGGTCCCATTTTGCCGACGATGGCGCTGATCTCGGCGAGCGTGAGTGATACGGCGGCAAGCGCTTCGGGATTCTTCTGCAGGTTCTCGATCATGGCCGTGGCCGTGTGTTGTAAGCAGTTGGCCTCGTCCAGGAGCAACTCGATCTTGGAAGCTTTCTCTTTCAGCTCGACGTCGTTGTACTTCTTGTCGGGCAGCGGCGGGGGCACGTCGCCGTAGCAGAGGTCCATGTCGACGGACTTGGATCGCGACTTACTGCTCTGCGATGAGCGCTGGACGGCTTGGTCGGAATTCCTCCTCGCAATCTCCTTGTTGTGTGCATCGCCGGCGAGGTCGGCTTCGAAGCGGTGTTTGCTGCTTCGCGGGCTGTCGTTGGCGTAGAAGCTGTCGCTGTAGCCGCGCTCCATCACGGGCCGGTCATGGGCCTTGGTGCGATGGGTGTGGGCTTTGGACGCCTTGGAGCGATGCGAGACCTGAGATCGGGCATCGTCGTCGTCCAGGCGGATGGCCTTGACGCCCTTGGCGAGCTCCTTCTCCTTCACGGCGGCATCGCGCTCCGCCTTGATCTCCGCCTTGCGCTCGCGGTAGGCGGCCTTGGCCTCCTTGAAGACGTTGACAATGTGCTTGCTCTGGGCGGGGCGTCAGTACGAGTACGGGGCTTATCGGGGGGCTAGCGAGCTTATCGGGCACTCACACTGCTCACGACCTTCCCACTCTTGTTAATAACAGTAATAGTCTCTCCGAGTCCGACGGCCATGGTGACGTAGTAGGGCGTTGTGTTCCTGCAGCAGCTGCACAGCGCGCGGCAAGAGGGGTTTTGTGTGACCTTGAGGCTG